CATTTTTTATTTATTTTTATATTAATTTATTTTTTTACATTCCCAGTTATGATAAAATTGCGCATTTTTATAAATAAGATTTAATTAAAAAAGTTTGTTTTTTAATTTAATAAGATTAAAAATCTTCATTTATATTATCTATTTAATCTTTAAAACTTATTTCAATGTTAAATATAACAGCATCAATATACTTATAACATTTATCTAATTCCCATAAACTAATATAAATAATTTTATTTTTTTAAAAAATAATAATAAAAACCCTTAATAAGCACATGCAGTATTATAAAGAACTACTATTAATAAATTTCTATCTAATGCTTTCCCTGAATTAGCTGCAAATTCTGCTATTTATTCTGCTTATTTTAATAGTTTGATTGCTTCTGTAAACTATAAATCTTCAATTAATTTACAAGATTCATCAGTTATTTTTCTTATTTTTTGAAATAACTAGTCTTTTGTTTTTTATTATATACATATATTATCTATTATTTACTAGAATCTTAAATTAATTTTTTATATTAAATATGGTTTATTTCTTCTATATCTTCTTACATTTTTTTTTTATGTATTTTATTTGAATAATTTAAATAATTCAAAAAAAAAAAAAAAAAAAAAAATTTTTTTTTTATTTTAATATTAAAAAAAAAAAAAAAAAACCATTAAAATAAAATAAAATATATAATTTTTTCATTTAAAAGTTATTTTTAAATATAAAATTTTATATAAAAACTACTACAATTATACATTTTTTTAAATTTATAAATCAGTATTATTTATATATTTATATATATATATATATATTATTTTATTTACTTCAAATTAAAAAAATAAGATTAATGTCCAAAAAAAATACTAAAAAAGGTTTTATAACATTAAATTAAATTTGAAGTAATTTATTTTGTTTAAAAAAAGATCCGAAAGCTGATTAGGCATTAGATATAGAATAAGTATTAAGAAGTTAGGTAGAATCATTAATATTAAAAATAGGTTAATAAATATTAAAATAATAATAAGAAATATATTTAAAAAAAGGATATGAATAAGAACGTGCCGATCGTTCAAAAGCATCCGAAAATTAATTAAGAAAGCGAATATACGATTTAGATGGTGAGTTTGAGAATTAAAAAAAAGATTTAGATTAAATAGCGTATATATTTATTTATATATAAAATGACAGTTGTTTTTTTTTATTTATTTAATAATAAAACAAAATTATAGTTCTGATATGAATAGATAATATAAATAAATGTAAAATGAATTATTAGATTAAGTTAATGAATTAACGAAAAGTGTAAATGAAAAAGAAGATGAAATAAGTATTTTATTAAATCTATTTTTATAGTTATTTCAATTTAAAAAAAAATAAGATAAAAAAAATGATTTTATTAAAACTTCACATAAAGATTATAAAGAAAAATTAGATAAAAAAGATAATGAAATATAAGAATTAAAAAAAAAAATAGAGGAAATGTCAGCTGAATTTGCTAAAATGCTAAAAGTTATAAAATAAATAAATAAAAAAATAATAAATATATATATATATATATATATATATATATATATATATATATATTTTTAGGATACACTTGATAAAATGTAAGAAAGAATAGAATTAGTTTAATGGAATCCTGATTCTGATCCTCAGAATATTAAAAGACTAAAAGATATGACAGGATAGAATCATTGATTTTTTTATTTTATTTTTAATCAATTATTTTTTTTTTTTAATTAAAAATAATTTATTATTAAGCTTTTTATTTATTATATAAATTAATATTTTCTTAAAATTTTTTTTATATAATTATAATTTTATAAATATAATAAATTAAAAGAAAAAATGAATTAATAAAATGAATTAATTTTTTGTATATATTATAAAATAAAATATTTTTAATATATATAAGTATTTTTTTTAATAAAAAATTTAAAAGACCCAAGTTTTTGTTAAATATTATCTTTTGTTGGAACATTAGTTTTAGTAAAAATAAATCAATAATATAGTTATTTTATTAATTATAGATAACATTTGGATTTTTAGTAAGAAGTGAAACTCCTTATTTAGATTGGTAAATAAAAGATCACAGGAAAAGTTCAAATTCACTTTTTATAACAGCAGGAGTATTAATAAACAAAAAAATTATTTATATTTAATTTTAAAATAATTATAACACGAAAAAAAAAAAGATTTATTTTTTTTATTTTTGATTTCAGTATTTTATTAAAGATATTAAATTCAAAGATAATAATCAGAATCTTAAAAATAAAAGAAAAACGGATATTCAATCCATTAAGATAATATAATCGAAAATATCGATGAAAATGATAATATAATAATAAACGAATAAATTTAATTAAATCATAATAATTCAATTAATTGATATAAAAAGCATTTAGTATATGAAAAAATATATAAATAAATATCAAAATATATAAATATAATATATATATATATATATATATATATATATATATATATAAACTATTATATAAATTTTAATTTTTTTGCTTTTTTTTTATATAAGTACAATTTTTTGCAATATTTTTTAAAATAAAAATATTTATTAATTAATTATTTATATTTTATTAATAATTTTTTTAAATAATTAATAAAAATAAAATTAAGTATAAAAGTTTAATAAAAATTTTAAAAATACTTATATATTAAAATAAAGAAAATTAAAAAAAAGACATATTTTTAAATTAAAAAATTATAATATGTAAAAATAATAAGGTATATAATAAATTATAAAGCATTTTAGGCGTACAAGTATATTTAATTAACATTAAAACGCAAACAACTCTTAAGTTAAATATAATTCATATGCAAAAAAAGCATAAAGTGTGCATTAATAAATTGCAAATTATTTTTCTAATAATACATCTGAAATTAGCAATAATAATTTTAATTAAGAAATAACAAATAAAAAATTAAACTTTAAAGGATATGCTGAATTAGAAAATCTATAAAAATAAATAAATGATATAAAAAATGATATAAAAAAATCTTATATTAATATAAATAATTTATTATTAAATTATGTAATAATATATTTATATATATAAATATTTTTAATTCTTATTATTAAATAAAAATATATATATATAATTAAATTATATATTTATATTTATTAACATATATATAAACATATAATTACATATATTATAATTTATATTTAAAGGGCTCTGAAGAATTAAATCAAAAACTAAAAAACTAATGGGATATAGATATAGAGAATAAAGAAATAAAAGATATAATTTTATTATTTGAAGTTCTTATAAATTCTATATTAAATATAATGAAAAATTAAGAAAGCTAATATTATGAAAAGAAATAATTATAATTAAATGACAATATATTTGATTAAGATTATCTATATTTATTATAAAAAAATGAAGCAGAATTACGATAAATTAATAGAGTTATAAATAAAAAATATAAATAATAATAATAATATAATTATATATATATTGATATTTATATTTATATATATTCTTATTTATTTATATATGTGACATTTCATACAGGAAAATCAATAATTTTTAATTACAATAGAATTATATTCATAAAAACTATAAAATAGTGAAAAATAATCTTAATTATTAGCTTAATAATCATTTAATGAAATGAGTGTAATTTTTTTATTTTTTTAATAATATTTATTATATATATATAAATATTAAAGAATATAAAAAATGAATTTTAATTTGCTTTAAATGATTTAAAATAAAGAGAGCTAGATATATAATTATTAAAATAACAATTAAAACGAAAAGATGAATAAATAGCTCTTGATTCTGAAAAATTATTATCTGTATATGTACTAGAGAATAAAATATAAGCTTTAGGGTGCAAAAACACTAAAGAAATTGATAAAATAATATTCGATTTTTAATAAAAGTTGAAAGAAATAGATATTGCCGGTCGTGAAGCTATCAGAAAGGAAAGATAATTTAACTAAAATAAAGTTTATGAGTTTAAAAATAAGCTTAACTTTTAAATTATAGAAAACAGGAAATTATAAAATTAAAATAAATTAAAACAATAATAATTAATAAACATGATTTAATAAAAAGAATTTATTTTATAAAAAAGAGTATAAGAGCTTCAGAATAGTGAAGAAAAACTAGCTTTAAGAAATCATGAATTATATATATTAAATAATAAAAAGGAAAAGTAAATAAAAAGATATACAAATATACAAATATATAAATTTTTATTTAAAATAAAATAATATTTTCAATTAAAAAATATTAATATTTTTATTTATTTTATATCTTTATATATAAATATAGTTTTGGTTTTTAATAATAAACAAGAGAAAATTCTGATATATCAAAATATAGATAAAAACAATCAATAAAATGATAAATTAAAAAATATAAATATACTATAACTATAAAATATATATAAAATATTATATTATTTGTGTATTTTATATATCTATTTTATTTAATATATATATATATATTTATAATATATATTACAAATATTATTATTTTATCATTTTAATAATTAATATAAAAAAAAATTTAAAATTATAGAGTTAAATTAAAATAAATTAAAAAAAATATGAAAAAAATAAACATGAAATATTTTTCATAATACCTTATAATAAGCTTAGTAGCATTTACTTAAGGAATATAAAATTTATCTGATTTAGCTATATATTATTTATATAAGAATGATTTTAATTTTTCTCCACACTAATTATCTTTATATTAAAGCATTCTAACAATTCCCTGGATAATAAAGCCTCTATGGGGAATAATAAGTGATAATTTACCGGTATAAGGTTACAGAAGAAAATCTTATTTACTTATATTTTCATTTTTATCATTTTTAAATTGGATATTAATAGCATAATGCGTTAGATAAGAAAAATTAATAGCATTTATGTTATTTATAATACAAATATGTACAGCATTCAATAATGTAATAGGTGAAGCCTTACTAGTAGAAGTCACTCAATAAAAATAATAAGATTTTATTTTAACAGAATAAAAAAACAAAGTGAAGCATCTTAAAATGTTTCTCTTTTTTTCGGTATAAGATCATTAGGCGTATATAAAAAATGTTTAAATTTTAAAAATATATATATATATATATAAATATATATATAAATAAATATATAAATATATATATACATATATATTTATATATTTATATATTTATATTTATAGACATTAATATCAGCTTATTTTAGTGGTTTCTTATTATAAATATTTTTACCCTTTACTGTATTTGCTATAACAAGTATCTTTCCTTTATTTTTATTTATAGGTAGTTTATTTCTTAAAGAAAAAAGTTATTAAAATTAATAGACTTTTTAAAAAGAATAATTATTTTAATTTTTTAGATTTCTTAAAAAGCCTTTTATTATCAAACCTTTGATTTTTATTTTAATTTTTATGATTCCACCTTCTAGTGGTACAACAATGTTTTATTATTATACAAATTACTTAAATTTTTCCCCAGAATTTATGGGTTAATTGCAATTTTTATCTTCTTTAGGTATTTTCTTGGCAATAATAATATACAATATATTTTTAAAAAATATTTAGTTTAAAAAAATTTTTATATCGTCATCTTTAATATGTATTTTAGCATATTTATCTTAATTATTACTTGTTTCAAGATACAATTTGAAATTGGGTATTCCTGATAAAGTTTTCTGTCTTTTTGATACTGCCTTTATTAAAATGTTAAGTGAAATAAATATAATGCCAATATTAGTACTTGCCTGTAGATTGTGCCCTAAAAATATAGAAGGAACTATGTATGCAACGATTATGAGTACCATTAATTTTGGAGGAGCGCTTTCTTTATAATTAGGAGCTTTAATAACATACCTTTTAGGCATAGATGAATAACATTTTTAATTGTTGTGGGCTCTAATATTAATATCGGGATTGGCAAGTTGCGTACCATTGTTATTAATTAAATTAATTGATGTTAAAATGGAGGAAGATAGCGAGTTAACAGAAGATAAGTAGACTATAGAAATTTTTTAGGATAATTAAACTTTATGAACAAATAGTAAAACGTGAGATAGAGCCTTTATATTTATATATAATAGTTAAAAATATATATTTATTTATATATATATATATATATATATATATATTATATATAATTTAATCATTAATATTATCTAAAATTTAACAATATTTATTGAAAATAATATATATTACTATAAAATGTAATAAAATCTAATTGAATAAATTAACATAAAAATTATAAAGCCAAACGATATAATCGAATATCACATTTATTCTTTCGATTTGATTTTTCATAAAAGCTAAGGATATGAGTTTCCATTATAATATATATTTGAAATAGAAGTAAATAAATTATAACTAGAAAAACTTATTTAATTTATCGGATATACTTATTAGGATGTAAAAAAGTATGTAAAGTCTGTAGGATAATTGACAGAAGATTTTTTAGAAAGATTTAAAAATGAAATCGGGTATTCTAATAAAAAAATGAACCTTTTTTTAATTACTATTAATAATTCTTTTTTCTCCAGTTTTTTTTTGGAGTTTAATTAAAATTATAATACTTAAATTAATTGCGCAATATTAAATTTTGACTATATTTAAGCTAAAAAGTAATTTTCAAAGAATATTAATAATTAAGATTACTTTAAATAAATAGAAATATTAAAAAATGAATTATATGAAATGGATTGTCTTATTAATAAATAAGATATATAAATTAATTATTTATAAAAAGAACATCTTTAAAATACATAAAATCATAAATAAAAAATGTAAACTCTGAGTACTTAATTAGAAAATGAAATTTAGATAAATTAATAAATTTAATATTAAAATAAAATGTAAATATAAATTTAATGATTTTCTATATATATTAAAAAAGAATAATAGAATATAAAATTAATTTAGAAAAAGAAAAAGAAATTTTTGAAAACTAATTCGATTAATTAGTTAAATAATCAGTTTAAAAAAGGCTGATTGAATATTAATAATTTTAAAAAATTAAGTAAAACAAAAGATATAAAATTATATATATATATATATATATATAAATAAATATATATATATATATATATATATATATATAAATATATATATATACATATTTATAATATATATATTTTTTTAATATATAAAATTATATTAGCATAATGATGAAATGAAAAAGCTTGAAAAGAAATATAAATTCGATTTAAACTAAAGAACTTAAATCAATTAAAACACTTCTGAAATAACTTTTTAAAACTAAGAAATAAATTAAAGTATACAAACATCAAAGCAAATGATATTAGAAATATAGTTAAAATAATAACACTAAAAAGAATAATACCAATAATTAATAAAAGAAATTAAATAACTAGACCTATAATTATCTTATAAAACTAATACTAAAATCTAAAACGATATTTTTAACTGTAAAATATGCAATGATTAAATCGCTTAATTAGTTTTTAGACCATGTGGACACCTTATTTATTGTTTAAACTGTTGGAATGATTATTTTACTGATGATAGGGATCCTTTTATGAATAACATAAAATATTTTTGTTTGAAATGTTTACATTATAGGAGAGTATTATAAATATCATCTTTTACTGAGAAAACTTGAAAATTATTTTTAATTAAAAAAAAAAAAAAAATACTATTATATATTTAAATTTTTATAAAAAAAAAAAATGCTCTAAAATATATAAACAAACAAAAATCAAATCGAAAATTTTTATTTAAAAAATACATTATAAAAACCTTCTATTTAAAAGAAAATAGAATTTTCTTTATAAAATTCTACTCTTAAAAAATCCCAAAATGATAGCAATTTAGAATAAATATTAAGAAATAAATTAAATATTGCAAAAAGTCCCAAAAATAAACCCAAAAGTAAAATTTTTAATCTTTTAAATAATTAAATTTTCCCTAATAATCAAAAAAATTATTTCTTTCATTTAAAAAATTCCACTTTTGCATTAAAAATGAATTCCTTTTATGAACAAAAACTTAATTCAATAGACCTTATTGAAACTAAAAAACTTTATTTTGATAATTCAAATGTCTCTTCTATAGAATAAAGCTTCATTAAATAGTTTTAATAATAAAGAAAAGAATCTAATGTTGTACATATATAACCATAAAAAGGAGAAACTTAACAACTTATAGCAAAAGAAGATATTACTAATATAATATAAACTGAATAGCTTTCATTTTAATATTTTTTTATAAATTTAAAAGATTAAGCGACACCTTTAAGTGTTTATTTGAATGTAGAAAATCCAAAGTTTGTAATTTTTATATCAAAAACTATTCGATTTCCTTCCAAATTATAATGCGATGAAATAGTAAAAGGAAATAATATTAGATTTGACGAAGTTGGAAAAATAATATTTTCCTATAAAAGGCTTTATATAACAATATAAACTGAATTAGCTCAAATAATAAAAATAAATATAAAATTTGGACAAAAAGAATAATAAAAATAATAAAAAAAGGAAAAATAAATTACAAAAATAACAGAACGAAAATAGCAAAAAAGCCTCATTTCATTAATGCCCAATCATAAACTGGAAATAGAAGTTTGTAATTATATAATAACATATAAAAATAAATATTTAAATATATATATTATATATATATATATATATTTATATATATATTTATAATTATTTAACATATTTATTAATTTATAATAGAAAACATTCGATAAAAAAGAAAAAATATAAGTGTATCTTATAAAAAAAATATAATAAAATAAAATATTGAAGATATTTCTTAATTAAATATCTATAAATAAAAAGATAAATACAAATGCTTGAATGATAAAATTAAAGAAATTTAATAAAAAAAATAAGTATTAGATGAATAATTGTACTATAAAAAGGATTTTTTGAATAGAAGAAAAAATATTTAATAACAATTGAATAATAATAAACATATAATTAATAAATAAAAATATTTCATTAAAAAGTTACAAAAATAATGGTTTTTAATAATTAATTTCGTTTAAGTAATAAAAAAAATTATTTAAAATACAAATCAAATGATAAATTCGATAAAAAGTATAAGAAAAATATCGAATTATGTCAAAAATAGCATTTAAATACTAATAAAAAATTAAAAAAAACAAAATTCAATATATGATAACAAATATACTGAAATTTAAGTTTATTAAACATTACATTTTTATACAAAAAATATATAAAAAATCTCAATAAAAAATGCCTAATTTATTCTTATCGATATTTTTAAAAAAAGAATAGAAAACTGGCGATTTAAATGTGCTTTAAATGAATACATAAATACAAGTAAAATATAAATATATATATAAATATATATATATAAATATATATATATATATATATATATATATATATATATATATATATTTATATTTTTATATATATATTTTTAATTTTATATATATAATAATATATAAACATATATAATTCGAATATACAAGTTAATAAGATAATTGAAAGATATAGAGAATTTAAATAAAAAAAATAAAACTATGAAAAAATGCTTGGGTATTTGTTCTACAAATATTTCACCAGTATTGTCGAGAACTATACTAAAGATGATTCTGTTGAATTTTTCAGCTAAATTTAAAATGCAAAAAGAATAGAAAAATTAAGAAACGAGAAAACTAAGAATAAATTCTTAAGTTTTTTTATGGAAAACAGAAGAAAAGAATTTTAATCTGATTTACTTAATTATTTTTCAATAACATAAAAAATCAAAGTATTATTTAATTTTAAATTATTAAAATAACTAAAAATAAATAGAATAAAACAAATATAAATTTTTTATAAAAACTAACTTAAAATTTAGAAAAATCACAACTAAATTTTTCAAATGAAACATTTAATAATCTAGATGAAATTGAGGAAAAAAAAATCGATTCTTATTTGTTTACTGGATAATTTGATAAAAGAGGAATTTCAACTTCAAATATAAATCCTCCTAGGTATTTTATAGTACCTAATTTCGATATACTCAAATAATCTATTTACGAGACTTTAAAAATGATTAAAAATTAAATATAAGTTTAAATTTTATTAGAACAAAAATAAGCTTAAAATTTAACAGAACAAACATTCATTAAAAAATTGCTTTTACTTGAGGATAATTGAAGTTCATTTTTATAAACGAAAAATTAAAAAAAATGAGAAAAAAATTAATTAGAATTAATAAAATAAATATGAATTTATATATATATATATAAATATTTTATAATATTTAGAAAAGTAATATTTATAAAAAAGTACAATCTAAATTTTATATTTTTAAATATAATTTTATTATTTATATTTTCCATTTTACATATTCAATTTTCATGAATACTCTAATAATTATTTTAAAAATTTAAATTAGAAAATGACCTTTTAATATTAAAAATAATAATAATAATAATAATATAATTTTGAAAAAAAACTAAAATAAAGTTCATACATGTTATCTTAATCAACTTTTTTCGAAAAAAGAAATTATGATTAAATTTAATTTCTTTAATCTGTAATTTCAATATCATTTAAATTCCTTTAAATACCGGTTAAATTTATTTGATTATTAACTTAAGTAAAATCTTGTTAAATAAAATCATTTTAAAAGTCAAAATCTATCTAAATTTATATGTCTTCATTAATTTAATTGTTTTGTATTTAGACATTTTTTAAAGGATCATCATCTTTTAATTTCTAAACAGTTATTTTATTAATATTATCTTGTAATTCATGATCTATTTTCTCCTAATTTTACATATTTTAATTAAGTACAACAACAATTAGAAATTATCTCAAAATATATCCATCTTCATTAAAAATACGAACTAAAATCTCACCAATATCCTTTCTTTAAGGCAGCCCTATAAATAATAAAACTCCATGTAATAACTCTATAGATTTAAACCATGCTGGTATTTTTTAATTATTCGAAAGTCCTATTTATTAGTAATCAGATCCTAAAAATCTGTGTATTTTATTGATAAGACTATTTGATGTTTCTATATATATATATATATATATATATATATATATATATATATATTAACATTATTGTTTAGTATAAAAACGAACTTATTATATATTATTATAAGATTCATGTATACATTCACCTTTGTTTTTATTTATTATTCCTAACTATATTATATTTTTATTTTAATATTTATTATTTTATTATTTACTTTTTCAGGAGTAAATCCATAGGCTATATAAATAATTGATTAATAAATTAAATTATAATAGATTAATTTTCTTTGATCTTAATTTAATTTAATTAAAATTTCTTATAAATTGATATTAACGACATCATGTTTTATAATAATTTTAGGAAAAGGTTAATTAATTAAATTATTTAAATCACTTTCTATATTCACATATTCTTTATACCAATCTATTTCTTTGTATTTTACTAAAGCAGCCTATTTTAAAAACTCTATGATTCTAAAAGTATTTTTATCAAGTAATAAAAAATGCATTGTAATAGCTCCTTCATTAAAATATATAAATAATATATATATATATATAAAATATTATATATATATATATATATATATATATATATATAAATTTATATATATATATTTATATATATATCAATATATTTTTAACAAATAATTACCACATAAAGAATTATATTATCTTGATTATTATTATGTCAAAGCTTTTTTTTAATCCATTTAAATATTTGGTTTTTCTTTATTGTTTTCTTCATTTAAAATAATATTAATAAAAGCTTAATAATTTATTTATCCGTTTTCCAATATATATTAAAGTTTTTATTATACTTTATTTAAATTTTATTTATCAATAGAAGAATTAGTCAAATTCTTAACTACATTATTCATTTTCTTTTAAACCATATTATTTTTTAATAATTTACTCTATCTCATAGTCTAATGTTCAGCTAATACTTACTATTACTGATATTATTGTTGTTTTTTGTATTCTTCAATCTCTTATAATATTAATTAATCTTTAAATTTATTTTTATATAATCCCCATAATTTGTATGAATCTATTAAATGACAATCCATTAAAGTTATTTATTTATAAAATGCTTAACCTTAATTAAGAAAAAAATTTAATAAATAAATAAATATAAAATATTTAATATATAAAATGTATATATATATATATATATATATATATATATATATATATATATATATATATATATAAATTATTACCTTCATAGGCAATTTCATCAGAATAAAAAAAGTTTTTTCTATACATTATATTATATATTATAAATCTATATTTCCATAGTCCGAAAACTCCCACAATAGGTCCTAAAATTTAAACTGCCATTGTGATAATATAAGTAAATGGTATTTTAGAAACTATAATTTATAAATAATCGGAAGCTTCAGTATATCCATCAGTAGAAATAATTAATAATTTTATTATTTAATTATATTCTTATAAACTTGGTTATCCTACAAACTTTCTTTCGTTTGGCTAAAATTAAAGCCAGAAATCAACTGGAATATCATATAATTTATTATCTATATATATTTTGGCTGAAAATGTAAGTTAATCATTATCTTTATCAATAAAAATAGTATTTCCTATTTAGAAAGAGAATTATTCTAATATATATATTTTGCCTTCATTATATTATTTATTAAATGACTATTATAAATTTAATTCAGGGTTTAGTCTTACAGGCTAGTTTAAATTTATAAATTGTAAGTCTTATAATCTTTCAACTGTTTCTATATCATAATTTATATAATCTATTACTTTTATTTAAATCTTTTTTTATTTTAAATAAGTATTTATATATAAATATATTTGATATTTTATTATATTATAATTAATTATTGTTTTACTTTTATATCATCAATAGGTTTCTTAATAGCTAATTTGATTCCTCTAGTTAAAAGATTTAGAATAGAATTAGTATCTCCTTCAATTTTAATTTGATTTTATTTATAAGATAAAGAAACTAAAACACCTTAATATTTAATATCTTGAAATTTACCATCATCTTCATTTATTTCTAAATAAATAATTAATGTATCTTAATTAGTAATAATTTATCTTTATTTATTTTTAAAATCGAATCTAAGAGAACTATCTATATTAATTTCAATAGGATAATAATTTATTTTACTTTTTAAAATAAATTCAATATATTTTATAACTTTTAATAAAAAATATATATAAATAAAAATATAGATAGAGATAAAAATATAAATAATAAATATATATATATAATTTCTATATATATATATATATATATTTATATACATATATATGTATATATTTTTTTTTATCTATTTGTTAATATATATATAAAGATTATTTTTTTTTTTTATTTTTATATTTTTATTTTAATATATATATATATACATATATTACTTTTTTAAGATTATTATTAGCCTTCGATTCTAAATTTTATTTCTGTATTAAATTTATCAGTGATAATATTTATAATATTAATAATTCCTAATTCAAACAAATTGTTAAATATATCATTTGCTTTATTTATATCTATATTTAATTCTTTATTTATAAAATCTTCACTTTAAACTTCTTCATAAGCTAACAAAATAATTTATTTTTAAGTTTATGCATAGATATTTTATTTGTTTTTTTTCAGGGCTTCTTTTTAAATCTAATTTATGAAATATATATATATATATATATATATATATATATATATATATATATATATATATATATATATATATAACATTAAAATTTACTTATATTTAAACTATCCCAGTTTGTAAATCAAAATTAATCCAGTCTGGTAATTCATTTAATTATAAATTATTATAATAATAAGCTTTTTTGAATATAATTTTCCTTTTGGAATAAATAAAGACATTATGTAATTCTATCTATTCTCCTATTTTTAAAATTGTTCCCTTATCTAATTTAGTTTTATATACTTATCCAAAAGAATCATGCTAAACTAACATAATTTCCGTATGTATTATAATATTATTTTTTAAATTCATAATAACTATCTGATAATATATATATAAAAAAATTATATAAAAAAAAATATATAAAAAATTACTCCTTTTTTAGTCATTAAAAATCCTTTTGATAAATCTTCATTTAAGCAAATATCATATGCTGTATTATCTTTGTAATATTAAAATTATTGTAAAATTTACATATTTCTAATTATATAAGTATATATTTAAATAAATATTTATATTTACTATAAATCTCTTATGTCTACCAAATACAATTACCCATTTTCAGTTTAAGTAACCAATGCATATTAATCATTTTAAATAATTCTCAAATGTAAAGTCCATCCATTTAATTTTAAAGTATGTAAAATTACCATACTAAATGGATTACTTATATCAACTTTAGTTATGAAAAAATATAAATATATAAATATATATATATATATATTTAATATATATAATATATATATATATATATATATATATATATATAAATATATATATATATATATATATTTTATAACCCGAAGTTAATCCGTTAAACCCATCGGTTATAATCAAATTTCTTTAATTTTTTAATATTGCCAATCCTTCCCCTCCTCTTGTATATAATTTATTTATTAATAAAGGTTTTTTCATATTTTTAATATCTAAAGCTATAACTCCATAATTTCTAATTGTTGCAAATGCAAAATTTAAATCTTTTGTAAATAAAGCATCTTCACAAGTACCTATAATTCCGTATTCTGAAGGCTAGAAATTCGATATTAATTAAATGTCCATAAGATTATTAATATTTAAAAAAGTAACACCTCTATTTCCATTGCCTATAACAGCCAAAGTTTAATTTTCATTTAAAAAAATTGAATCAGAATCATTATCAGTAAATCCATATTAACTTTGATTTATTACCTTAGGTTTATTATAGCCTTCTTCATAACTTATTATACTTAAACCCCCTGAAGATATTCCTCCTAAAACATATTATTAATTCATAACAAATACACTATCTGTAATATTACTATCTTCTATACCAACTTAATTTATTAAAGAAAGGATTTTTAACGAATTTCCTTAAACATTTGTATCAAAACATATAGTACCATTAGATGATGATGCTCTTTTATATATATATATATATATATATTTTTTTTTATTTTTATTTTTTTTACGTATATAATTTATAGTTTTTATAATCACATCTCCATGTCCATTTATCATCTCCCATATGGTCATTGAATAAATTATTTTAGACAAAGTTTAATAAATTTGGTTTATCGGAATTAAAATTAGGAATTGATCTTTAGAATACCATAAAATTAAAAGAATCACTAAAAAATATCAAATTTTCATCTTAATTTAATTTCAAATTAATCGCTAAACCAGTCTAAGGTAAAGTTTCGAATAAAATAAGATTATCAACTTATCTTATATCATATATATTAACTCCTATAGACCTTAATCCAACAAAAAGGAATTTTTCGTCTTTTGATATATCCATTACTTAAGAAAATGAGTTTAAATTATAATAATAATCATATTTAAAATTTTCGTTTGTACATACTCCAGATTATAAAAGAGATTATATATTAATTAAATAAAGTCCTTATTATTATTCTAAAGCATATATATATTTATTTTATATTAAAATTAATTACAAAGTTATTGCCCAATGATTTCTTTAACATTAATATTAAAATATATACTTAAAAAAATAAAAAAAATAAAAAAATATATATATATATATATATATATATATATATATATATATATATATATATATAAAATCACTTTATTTTTCTATTAATCATAATTCACTTTATATACTTAAATCCCTTTAAAATCATTTGCTAAAAAAGCGTATTTTTAATCCTTATCAAATAATATTTAATATACTTCGGCCTCTGTTTTTAATTCTTGGTCAAAAGTCATTTAAATAATATTTATGTCTAAACTATATATTTAAACTACATTAGATCCTTAAAGGAAAACAAATTATTCGTTTTGAGATAATTATAGGTTTATTAAATTTATTTCAAAATTAAATGTTTTTATTAATATAGGCTTATTTATATTTGATATATCTAATAAATTTATGTTTTTTTATTAATTTACTATCTATTAACAAAAAAAAAATTTTAATATAAATATTTTTGTATATAAATATATATATATATATATATATATATATATATATATATTTTTATAAATTATATATAAATATATATATATATATATATATATTTATTTATATATAGTTCAAAAATAAATTATTTATAATTGCGGGGGGGGGAGTTTTTTTTTTTAGTATGTTTTTTTACCCATAAATAATTTTATTAATGCGAAAGCCTAATTTTCATTATTTTTTAATTGGGACTTATTTCTTTATAATATACTATAATTGATTATTAAGGCTCTTTTACATCAATGAGCATTATACCGCAATATTATAAACTTACAAAAACATAATTATCTTTAGGTTTTTACAATGATATTATATCATTTATTGAAGATTCATTACAAATAGATTTTCCTTCTAATTCGTAAATTTGAAAAGGCGAAAATACAGGAAGTTATTCTTCTAATAATTATCCAAAAACACCTATTTATTGAATATTTTTGTGTTTTTATTAAAAAAATTAATACTTAAAATAGAATAAAATATTGAAAGTAAAAATATATAAATGACATTTGTTATTATATTCATTTATATATATTTTTTTTATTTTTTTAAGAATTATTAACTTAATTTATAAATAATATTTAAATGATATAGATAACAGAAATAATAAATTTTTAATAATATATGTTAGTAAAAAATTTATTAAAAAAAAGAACTTAAAAAATAAATAATAATAAATAATGTATTAAATTAAATAAAAATTATTAAAATTGAAATATTTTAAAAATATTATATAAAAATATAAATATTAAAATAAAATAAATATTATATTTTTAATAAATATATATATATATATATATATATATATATATATATTTTTTTATTTTAATTATTAATTTTTTTTTTTTTATTTTTTTATATTATTTATATTTTATTGATATTATTTAAATTATTAAAATTATAAGAAAAAATATAATAATTTAAAGCATTAGTATATTTTTAAAATTTTTTTAACAATAAATTTTTCTTAATTAAATGTCTGTTAAAAAATTGTAAATTTTAAAATAAAAAAAACTTTTATTTTATATAATATTATAATTGTTATAAATTTGAAATTAGTTTTTTTTTTTATTAAAATAATAATAATTAATAATTTATAATTTAAATTTATTAATAATAATAATTAAAATAAATAACTCTTAAAATATTCATAAAAACAAAAATATATATATAAATATTAAAATAAATTTAAACAAAAATTTCTTATCACTCATTTTTATATATTCATGACTTACTGAAACATAAACTTAAATGAGTTTTTATTATATAAATTAAAAAATTTTTTAAATCAGATTATAAAAGATTAAAAGATAAAACCCTAAAATAATAATTATATTTAAATTTAAAAAAAAAAAATAGATAAGTAAAAGGAATAAAATTTTAAAATTTTAACAAAAACTAAGATGAAAATGGTAAATAAAATAGTCTAACAAAAAAAAAAAAAGTATTGCTAAAAAATATCAGAACTAAATAAAAAAAAAAGATTTTAAATTTATCTAAATATAAATCAACAAAATTCCAAAATAAATATTTTTTTAATATATAAAAAGATATATATATATATATATATATATATATATTTATATATTTTATATTATATAAATACATTTATATTTATATATTTATATCTAAATGAATATAATTTATAAATATTTTAATTTTTTTTTAATATAGAAAATTTTATATAAATTTTTTATAAATATTTTCTTATTATATATATTTTTCATATATATTAATATAAAAGATAAATGGATACATAAAGTTTATCTTATAGTTGTATAAATTAATTATCAAAGTAAAATTAAAATAAAAAAAAACCAAAAATAACATATACAAAAAGGTTGGTTACGCAATCTTTTTTTAGAGAAATTTAATTAATAGGTTTTAATAATGTCCCTCAAGTAAAATAAATTACAAAATTATCTTTAATATAAAACAAAAAATAGAATGAACCATTAATAATATGTAGTAATCATAATAATTAATTCATGGACGGACTAGTATACATAAACAAAAAAAATATAAACTCATATATTAAAAATAAAACTTAACAAAAAAGTTATTAGTTAGTTAGTTAAATAGACATATTAAATTTATTGTAGCTGATAAGTCCATGTAAAGGCCCATAATAGGACATTTTGCACGTGCATTAGGGGGAATTCCAGTAAAAAGAGCCGAAGATTTAACAATAAAAGGAAAGGGGAAAATATCATATATAGGGGAAGGGAAAATAATAGTTAAAAAATATAATAGATATATAAATATATATAAAAATATAAATACATATACAAAAATAAATACATATATATATATATATATATATAGAAATATAAATACATATCTATATTTTTAGGGCTTAGACACTTACTTTATATAATAAATTGAAATTGGTAGTACAATTGTTATAAAGGTTTATTTTTTAAAATAAAATAAACTTAAAAAATAAAGGATATTAAATTAAACGTAAAATAAATTATTTCTGAAAAAGAATTGGTTATTTCGGATTAATATTTTGCTGATTTTTTCTAAAATTAAGATTATAAAATCATCCCAAAAATGGACTATTCTCAAGTTTATGAAAAGGTTTGGGAAGCTTTACATTAAAAAAAATGTATTGGAATTTTTCCAGAAGGAGGTAGTCATGATAGGACAGATCTATTACCATTAAAAGCAGGGGTTTGTATTATGGCTTTAGGTGCAATGGCAAAATATAATATGAAAGTGAATTAATTTTATTTTTTATAATTAAACTCCTTTAATTAACTATTTTATAGGTTAAAATATTACCATGTGGTATAAATTATTTTAGAGGACATAGATTTAGATCTAAAGTTATAATTGAATTTGGATAAGTTTATAATATTCCTGTAGAATTAGTAGAAATGTACTAAAAAAACAAAAAAAATGCAATTTCCAAACTATTAAAGGAAATATAAACTGTATTCATAAATATATATATATATATATATATATATATATATATTTATATATATACATATATATAATAAAGAGACTTAGAGAAACTACTATATAAATGCCTTCATATAAAGAATTAAATGCTATATATATTGCACGAAATATATATTTACATGACGCGAAAAATATAAGTCCAAAAGAAAAACTTCGACTAAATAGAACATTTGCTTAAGCTTACACTTGTAGAATAGAATCTTAGCAAGCAAAAAATATACTAGAGAAAATAATTAAATATGACTCTATGCTAAAAAGTTTAGGAACTTCTGATTATTAAGTGAAAACATTTTCATAGAAATTTAAAGTTGATTTCGCGTCTTTCTTTATTTCATTTATAAAAACTTTACTTTCTTTAGGATTTTCTTTACCGGCTCTTATATTAAATAGTCCTATTGCGTTATTAATGAGATATTTATCTGAAAAAGAAAGAATAAAAGTATTAAAATAAATATGTATATGTATAATAAAATATGAATAAAAATATAATATATATATATTTATATAAATATTTATATTTTTTAGTGTAAAAATAATTCTAAAGTAAAAGTTTTAGGAAAAGACGTAGTTGCTTCATATAAAGTATTATCTGCTTTTGTAATTTTACCAATGTCTAATTTATTGTATACATTTGTTTTTAATTATATTATAAGACATAAATGCAAATTAATAAAAAATAAAAAAATGTTAAATATTATACTATTTTATTTTTCATGCTATATCCTTTTTATGCTTTTAGTATTTTTATATATATATATATATATATATATATAAATAAATATAGATATTAATTAATTATTTATTTTATTTTAATTATAAAAATAATATATATATATATATATATATATATATATATATATATATATCTTTATTATATATATATTATAAGTTATGTTGAAATCAGCTGATTCTTTAACTAGAAATTTAAGAACTTTATAATCTAAATTTCTTTTTTTTACTAATAAATAAAAATTTTTATAATTAAGATAATAAAGAGAAGATTTATATATAGATGTAAATCAATTTTTTATAAAACAAAATAATTTATTATTATTTCTTCTAAGATAAGAGAATTTATGAGATAACATTTAAATAAATCTAATATAATTGAAAGATAAAGTGATATTGAATTGAATGACAAAGCAAGATATTCATTTTCTAGTTTTGAATCTATAGATTAAGAAGATAATGTTTTTGATTTATTATAAGAAATCGGATGTTGATATTTTTAATTAATAGATGGAATCATATTATTTATATAATATTTAATATATTAATATGAAATTATTAATTTTATATATATATAAATAAATTTATTATTTTGATATTAATTCAGTTTATTAATGTTATATATAATTTTTAAATATTTTTTTTATTATTAATTTTATATGTAAAGATATTTAATTTATTTTATTAATATAAAACATTTTTATTATATTTATAAATAAAATAGAAAATTTTTTTAAAAAAATATTTAATATTAATTAATTAAATATAGAACAGAAGAAAAAATTTATTATATATTATAAAAAATTCGGATATTAAATAAAAAAATATTATAGTATTTCTTAAATAAATAAAAATATATATATATATAATTTTATGCAATAAAATTAACTAAATATAAATTTACTTATTATATGATCTTCATATTATACAATAAATTTTATAAAATTAAAAAAAAAACTTTTATTAACAATTAATATTTATAGATATTTTTTTATATAAATCGATTAAAATTATTGAGAAATAAATATATTAGTGTGTTAATATTAAATTAATTAATTAAAAAGAAAAAAAATTATTTTTAAAATCTTTAGAAAGGATTTAAAAAATTGATATATTCGTTATGATCGTTATAAATAAATACATAACTACTACTCTTAAAATTATATAAAATATAAATAGATATTTCTAAAATTTAAATATTGAAAATAAAAAAAAATGTATATTTATTAAAAAATATTATAAATATGTATATTTAATAAAAAATATTATTAAAATGTTTAAAAGAATTCTAGATAGAAAGATATAAGAAAAAAATAAAATAAAATAAAAATAAATAAATAAAAATTTTTAATATTAAATATTTAATTAATTATTATATTTTTGTAATTATTTTTAAACATATTAATTTATAAAATTAAATTTATATATTTTTATATATTATATATATTATTTTTATA